ATGTATCAATACATTGAGATCTCAATTAAGCAAATAGGTAAAGGACTTATTTTAAGCACTCAAAACTTTAGGAGGTGCTAAGAACAGTACAGAATCTTTAATTGACACAACTGGAATTTTGTATGAATATGGAGGAAATCATAAAGGCCACAATATTTTTGTTTGTGCCTATACATTCACATTTTTTCTTGAAGACCGATCTCCCCAGCAGTTAACAAGCTGTCTCAACTTGATTTTGGGAAACCCATTTTGACTCAGAATCCTAACAAAAGCAGTCCTGCATACTACTCAGACCATAATAAAATGTCAGTTGTAACACAGAGCAAGTTTTAATATTATGTAAACAAGGCATTTTACATGCACTATACATGTATGTGACACAAGACCCATCAGGAACATGATAAGTTGAGATAGCTATGTTACTCTAACCTTTTCACCACCAGACTTTCTCACCCAAATTTGTCTGCACTTTTTTCTTACATTCTTCAATATTTTTAGAAATATACCCTAATTTTGGAGCCAACAGACAAAATTCAAGTCATTTTTCAGTTTTGACACAAAAATTTGGTTATTTTTGTCAGACTGGTTGTGAAAAGGTTAAACAAGACAGGCTACTATATACAAGGTGAGTGATGACATCATACCTTTATCCAAGATGAGTATGTGTTATTGCCAAGTCTTGGTACCCATCTTATGGTGTGTAGAATCTCACTATGAGTCAACGACCTTTCACTGACTCCAGTCTGACTTTCTAATAACTTCATGTACGCCACAGAAGGCGGAAGATCAGATAAGAGACGCCAGCACATAATAAAGTTGTACTGAATGGAACATACATCCTATAAAGAAATGGAAAGGATTTTAAAACGATTTAATTACGGGAGATATACCGTAATACAAGTAGAACAAAAAACCATTAAACAACCTAAGTAACTAGGATCATGTGAGTAATATACCACTGATCTAATAGTAATTCTTTTTCCAGTCTCATATTCCGGTGTGTTACGGAAAGGATTAATTTGAGAAAAATACGTTGCATTTCAGAAAGTTTATAATATTGAAAAATCACTTAGCTTAAGTTTACTTTTTTTCCTAGATTGGACAACTTTTAAAACCTAATTCTGACCATTTTTTGTATCAGCCAATACACAAATATTCACTGAAATAATGGCCATTTAAAAAATAATCACTGATATAATGGCCAATACACAAATATTCACTGATATAATGGCCAGTACACAAATATTCACTGATATAATGGCCAGTACACAAATATTCACTGATATAATGGCCAATACGCAAATAGTCACTGATATAATGGCCAATACACGAATATTCACTGATATAATGGCCATTTAAAAAATAATCACTGATATAATGGCCAATACACAAATATTCACTGATATAATGGCCAGTACACAAATATTCACTGATATAATGGCCAGTACACAAATATTCACTGATATAATGGCCAATACGCAAATAGTCACTGATATAATGGCCAATACACGAATATTCACTGATATAATGGCCATTTAAAAAATAATCACTGATATAATGGCCAATACACAAATACTCACTGATATAATGGCCAATACACAAATACTCACTGATATAATGGCCAATACACAAATATTCACTGATATAATGGCCAGTACACAAATATACACTGATATAATGGCCAGTACACGAATATTCACTGATATAATGGCCAATACACAAATACTCACTGATATAATGGCCAATACACAAATATTCACTGATATAATGGCCAATACACAAATATTTACTGATATAATGGCCAATACACAAATATACACTGATATAATGGCCAATACACAAATATTCACCAATACATTGGTCATTATTTGGCTCTTAATACTTTCCCAAATGTAATAGATAACCTGGATTGTATTTAGTCTAAACATTCATGACATTTTGATGTAAAGATGTGTTTATATATTCAAAATACTGAGAAATTAGGATGAGGTAATCAGAAGCCATACATAATACAGTGACTTACCAAAAATGGAAGAGTTTTACTTTCCTGTCTAGCTTTGACATCACAATGAGACCCTGCTGACAGTAGATTAATTACAGCAGAATAAAACTCATAGTAGTCAAAGACCTTGTCAAAAAGAATATTACAAATCTGAAAATAAACAAACATAATTGCTAATACAATGCTTTCAATGCATATGGGCCTGTATTTTTAACTTCACAATATTAATTAAGGGTGATTGTATTTTGACACAGGAATTTCTAGTTATTTCCTATAACTGGTTACTTGAGGTAAAAACTTGGGTAACCAAATGAATATTTGAAATATGAAGCTTTGTTGCATATATTTTGATTTAAATTCAAAATGGCTGCTAGTATTTGAATAAATCAGTCACAGTTTCCATGAAAGCAAGTTGCAGTACCATCTCTTTTTATTTGCTCTTTCTCACAGTATATTTCCCCAATAATACACACATATTAAATTACTAAATGCATGACTTTTATTTGCAAAATGCATCTTGCCAAGAGTTTTCAAATGAGCTGTTACCTTGACATACCGGTAGGTCAGAATGCAGTTCATATGATACGCATTTAACTTTGTGGAAAGGTTAATTCTGTTAGAAGCATTGGTAAATAAGCTATGTATCCTACACCACATGTCAGACTTTTTGATTGGCTTTGGGTGAGACACTTTTGTCATTTTGGATTGTGAAATAATAGTTGGAGAATGTGAAATACATGTGACTACTAGTATTAAACATCTGTCACCATAACGTCATAAGTTACAGCATGCCATAATTTTGCGATATTGCACTGGAATTCCCAATATGGAACGATTATGTACGTGCCATCCTCTAATGAAAGAAACAAAAATGGCAGTCTCCTGGGTTTGACCGGACCCTGCACAAAGAAATTTTCTAATTTTGTTCTAAACAAGTTTTTGGAGTTCAGCATTCCCATGATGTACTGTAAAATACTTTATCTTCACTTGGAATGATTCAGTGAATATTCCTTTTTTCCTATATTTCAACTCGTCAAAAATCAGTGAAAATAAATTCCATACAAAACACCAAAAAGTCCTTTCAGCGAAAATTTATTCCAGCTAAAATAAAGTATTCTACAGTATTCTTGGGAGAAAAAGATGTATAATAATAAGGTTAATACCTCTTTGTCAATCTTAGGTGCTGATGTGTTGTTAATTTCAGCTGGAGACACATTGTAAAATCTTGGCTTCAACTGCAAACCTGCAGATCAAAAGTAACAAAAATCTGTTAAATCCGTCTCAGTACATGCATAATTAGAAATTCCAGTAATACGGAAACTGTTAGGACTCATAAAACAATCATTACTCTGACTTAACATCTCTGTCAATAGACACCTGTCATTCATAAAAAGTGAGCACTCTGAATCATGTATATAAATAGAAAATTTAGCAGTGAATTACTAAGATGTGTGACTTTTTAAGTTCATTTCCTTGGCAATTGTGAATATATTACCTTGATTATCACTGGATTCATTTTGTTTATAATTGTCTTCAACTTCTTTACAAGCATGGTATTGTTTAGATAGCGTACTGCCACCATTGTCTTGTTGTGTCACCATTGATGGACTTACTGAGTGTAGTGTAAACACATTCATTTGTACCTGTATAATCAGTTACAGATATCAATATTAAAATACACACACATACTGCCACCATTGTCTTGTTTTGTCACCATTGATGGACTTACTGAGTGTAGTGTAAACACATTCATTTGTAGCTGTATAATCAGTTACAGATATCAATATTAAAATACACACACATACTGCCACCATTGTCTTGTTGTGTCACCATTGATGGACTTACTGAGTGTAGTGTAAACACATTCATTTGTAGCTGTATAATCAGTTACAGATATCAATATTAAAATACACATATGCAGAGATTACCCGACTAATCATAGCATAGTTTATGCTTTATTATGCAACTGGGAAAAAAAAAAAAAATTTAATTGTTCAAGATCCACTATTTAGTTCACCCATCTAGAAGACGCATGATATATTGTAAGATCATAGTTTTTGATTCAAATTACAGTAAGATAACTATAATAGGTACTCCTTCATTTTGAAAAGTTAAAAATGTTTATCTCGACACATTCAATGTCATGTCTTAAAGGATGAGGGTTTTACATTCAATACGATGTTCAATAAGACGGGCTGGAAACGTAAACGAGACAAAAACAATAGATTTTTCAGGTTAGCTAGGGGGAAATAACGTTGCTAAGTATTATCGTCAGGGAAAGCTATTGTTTAAGCTTGTCTGTGATTGGTTGCTGCAATGTTTGGTGGATTTTGACCAGTTTGTGAAGTAAGTTTGACTTAGAGAATGCACATACACATAACACATTGTTTGCATGTAATTCAACCCAGCATGGTTTAAATTGTTTACAGGTAATTCAACCCAGCATGGTTTAAATTCAATATTTGTTTACAGTGATTGTCAATATCAATGAACAGTAAAACAGATGCTGTGCAGGAACAGTCTTACATGTGTAAAACTGAAAGAGATTAGAAATGTTTGTCATATATTACACGACTTGCCTGTTCAAATAACGTTGTTGGTGGTACTGAGTAGTGATGTAAGAAATAATCAAACACCATGACAAGACGACTCAAAGCCAAGGGTGGTTCAAGGGTAAGGTCACTGTAGGAAAAAAATAAACATGTGTAAATTAACTGCCATGTTCCACCATGACTGGTTCTACTAACAGGCTTCTCGAACCTAAGTGGTCCTACTGACACGCATGCCTCACTTAAGTTGTCCTACTGACACTCATGCCTCACCTAATTGTTCCGACTGACACGCATGCCTCACTTAAGTTGTCCTACTGACACTCATGCCTCACCTAAGTGGTCCTACTGACACGCATGCCTCACCTAAGTGGTCCTGCTAAATCTCCTACCTCACCTAAGTGGTCCTGCTAAATCTCCTACCTCACCTAAGTGGTCCTACTGACACTCATGCCTCACCTAAGTGGTCCTACTGACACTCCTACCTCTCCTAAGTGGTCCTACTGATACTCCTACCTCACCTAAGTGGTCCTACTGACACTCATGCCTCACCTAAGTGGTCCTACTGACACTCCTACCTCACCTAAGTGGTCCTACTGACACTCATGCCTCACCTAAGTGGTCCTACTGACACTCATGCCTCACCTAAGTGGTCCTACTGACACTCATACCTCATCTAAGTGGTCCTACTGACACTCCTACCTCTCCTAAGTGGTCCTACTGATACTCCTACCTTCCCTAAGTGGTCCTACTGATACTCCTACCTTCCCTAAGTGGTCCTACTAACTCTTCCCCCCTCACCAAAGTGAAACTCTCATACCTCATATCTGATATCTCCATCAATGCATGTGCCAATCTCAGCATTATATTTCTCTTTGTCTTGGCTGTAAAATTCTGGAAAATAAACAGCAGTAACTGCATGTGCTCCACATTAATATCTGTAACAAAATAGAAAGCTCTGGGAATTAACAGAAACGCATCAGAAAAATAATAAGGTGCTGTAAGCTTCAGTGTCAAATCAAAACATCTCTTGTTGATGACTGAGGAATACAGGAAAATCAAAACAAAGAATATTCCAAAGTACCAGTATTTAGACTCAAAAGTTACCATCTATCTGTTAAAGCTCAATAGAGGTACTTACCATCAAAGTCCACTAGTTGGACCTTCTCCAGTGACTTCTGTTTGACAGTGTTAATAAACCTTTCCCATATCCAGATACACGCCCTAGTGTCCAACCTCTTGGTCATGTCTCTCTTCTGTCTCAACAACAGAACATGTGCCAGAACAGCAAGGCATCTTGGGTAAATATTCAGTGGCCAGGGCCCATCTCCCACTGGGCTAACCCCCAGGTTATTTAGCAAAGAATCCTGCACAAAGAGAATTCATTGGATAATTATATCATGTGTTCCAGGATGAATGACTTACGGTCATTAAGAGAACAATGTGCGAGTTTTTAGTGAACTGTACCTGTAAATCATCCGTAAGTGAACCGGATGCCAAGAGACTGTGGTTGAAATGAGACAACGCCATGGAGAAATCATCATATAGTTTCACTGAAAAAAAAAGAAATTCATGATAAATAAATGATATAAATTCATGATAAATAAATGATATAAATTCATGATTCTATTTTCATTCACTTGACCTAGTGTTTTATTATTGTTAAACTGGCTTCATTCTTATTTGCTCATTTCACTTGCTACTGTAGCTGTTACTGTATTTGCTCTATAAGTAAGCGCTTACAGAAATATCAGTTGTGTGTCTATGATCAAAAGAAGTAACATATGAATGATCTTGTATACAATTAATGCAACTGATTGTTCATATGTACTATTTGATATGCACTTCTAATAGAGCAAATATGGTACGTAGCCTAATAGTCAACATATATTTACACATGTACTGCTATGAAATCATTGTCACACTCACTACTCCCATACCACCTTGTTTACATGTGTGCACACTACAACTATCTATCAATACATTTCACTTGTTGGTGAACTTCTAAAAATTCAGAACACCAGTGTGCCCTCTAGGCCGATATGACATACCACTTACACCCAAAGATTTGCCGTCATGCAACTAGCTGTGCTTATTTACTGGCACGTCGTCGACGCAACAGAAAAAACATTTAAATAATTCAGTGATCTTGATAAACTCACTGTAGTTATAGAATTTTATAATTTGGTAAAATAATGTTTACATTTTATAAACAAAAGTCAGGGACCACAACATTTTTGTTAGTGCCTCAAGTCACCTAAACTGTCACATACAAATATCTTGAAGACAACTTCCCCAGAAGTCAACAAACTCACTCAACATGATTTTAGGAATTTCATTGTGATTTCATCTGGAGAACATTCCTTACCATAATCATGTTTTGATGTCTCTTTATCAAGGTCTTTAAGCACAGTAGCTAATCCAGTCATGTGTTGCTCACTAAATGATTTCCTGTAAGATAATAATATCAATATTTTGATAAGTAAACTTCATAACAGAGAATCAGAAAATTATTCATGTAAAAATCAAGTTGTGAAAAACTCACCTCAGATAACTTCTCACGAGTTGATTGTTTGAGTTCAGTAAGTGTACAGTCAAGAAGCGCAAGATATCACAAGCCAAGTTTATAAACTGTAAACAAAAAAACAAAATAAATGCATATCATACACTATTTCCAAATAAAGTGTGCATAGTCACATTTTAAACAATTTGTTTCATTCGTTTCAAATTACAGGCAAATAACGGTACTATGATGTACACTTTATTTAAAGTGTGAATTATGTACCGATACTCAGTCAGCCGCATGGCTGGAGCAATTCTTACTGTTCATATGTGAGAGACTTACTCCATCAGGTTCCTTTTTATCAGGAACTATTCTAACATCATCAGCATGGCAGGATCGATTCAAACCATTCTTATCCCCGACTATATCATCAGCAGGTGGGGGACGAGGGGGTGGAGGAGGTGTGGTGGATGTATCAGATTCTGGTGATAACGTCTCTTCAAACCAATGTCCAAGGATGGGTTCACTATCTTCATCTAAATATTTGTAAAATAAAGAAAAAAAAGTTTTACTTATTTTGAAATCTTTGTGTGATATGATATTTATTAATGTATATTAAAACTACTACACATGTTACAATCATGAGATTATGAAACAGATTTCTATGCAAGTCACTTTAAAATTAAAATACTAGCGATATGTTGTGAAAACATTTGTAGATTGACCATATTTCAAACAGTTGTCCAGTCATCAAACGAGTCATGTTTTGGCTTATTTATCTCACATAAACATGTGTACAAAAACCAAATAAATTGCCCTAGACTTTTGCTCTTCATTTATTAATTTTTTATGACCGAGAGCAAATGAAAAATTATCCAATCATACATTGTTATAAAAACTATCAACTATCAACTATCTTATCTGTCACTCTTTTCTTTCACATATGGGTGTCTAAGTGATACATACCATCTGATGATTCCTGTGAGCTGCTGAAGTCGTCTTCATAATAAGTATTAGAATCAGATTCACTGCCACTCTCCGACTGCACGGTTTTTCTCTGTCTTTTCATCGTACATGCCTGTAATTGTTACAAAGTATTCACGAATATAGACGTTTTTAGTTACATGCTTAACATACGTATCATACTACCAAGCCTTTTTCATACTGTTAAAGATTGGTCAAAAATTTGGTGTTCCAATATAATCCAATAATATGGTTCATAATGGAATATTTTCAGAAATCATTAGACACATTCAGCACAAGATTCTTTCATTTTTTAAACTGTAAAAACATGCACATAATAATTATATAACTCCATATTTTCTCTTACTAGTAATGTTAGTGACTACTTAGCTTCTTATGAAACACAGTTACTGTAGTAGATTAGAAAATTGAACACATTCATGGACGTGTAGAAATTGAACACATTCATGGACATGCAGAAATTGAACACATTCATGGACATGCAGAAATTGAACACATTCATGGACATGTAGAAATTGAACACATTCATGGACATGTAGAAATTGAACACATTCATGGACATGTAGAAATTGAACACATTCATGGACATGTAGAAATTGAACACATTCATGGACATGTAGAAATTGAACACATTCATGGACATGTAGAAATTGAACACATTCATGGACATGTAGAAATTGAACACATTCATGGACATGTAGAAATTGAACACATTCATGGACATGTAGAAATTGAACACATTCATGGACATGTAGAAATTGAACACATTCATGGACATGTAGAAATTGAACACATTCATGGACATGTAGAAATTGAACACATTCAGTGATGACCAAGATGTTTACTCACCTTTTTATAGGACACAGTAACAAGACAGAGCAGTAGATTGGTAAGTTGAACACTGTCTATAATTCTCTGCACTCTCTGCCATGCTGTGTAGTTGGGTAATACATTCAATTCAGCAGGACTTACATCAATGCTTGTAGTGGTCTGTGAAGAATCATGCAATAATATGATATAACTGGCACAAAACATAGTTGAACTCTGGTGACCTTGCCCTTTGTTATAATAATATAATTCCCTTCATCATAGTTTGTTTCAATATAAATATGCATTGTCATAATTAATTTTGAATACAAACAAGTTTTGGGGTTGAACCAACAGTGGGGAATCAGTCTCCCAAATGTCCTTTATCTTTATCCTTTATCTTTATCCTTTATCTGTAAATATCTTACAAA